TGAGACTGGATGAACTTTAGGGCCCCTCCCAACTCAAATAATTCTGTTATCTGTGGTCCTGCAAAATGCAGTTAAGGCTTTGGGTAACCTTCTTTAAAGAGTCTCTAGAGAAGCAGCTCTATGTGCCCTCCTTCACAGAAGATGGACATTCACCCTTCCCTTTACACAAGACATTGCATGTGCAATAAATAGAAGAGATTTGTGTGTTTTACAAGAAAAAAAAAAAAACAGAAAATAATACTCTACGAGAGTATTTTATAGACTGTTCCACATTAAACTCTCTTTTAAGCCATTTCCATAATATCCCAACAGCTTTGCCACAAAACCCAAACACTTCTTTCCAGCAGAGAAGCAGATAACACACTCATTAACTTATGTTAATTACCTTGTCGCATGATTTTGTCCCTCTGGTCCAAGAGCCTGTATCTCTCTTCAGATGTCTCAGCCACCAATCCCACCAGGTTACTGAGAGATGACAGCGAAGTTCCCAAGCCCTCTGAGCTCTGCCCTTCAGAACTGGAATCAAACAGCTCTGCTTCAAACTGCAGTGCCTTTCGAAGGCCAGGCTTCTTTGCTGGAGAACTAAAGAAGACGACTTTTCTATTAATAATAATATGTTAGCGCATGCCCTGGTCTCAATCAGTTCACTGCTATTTAGGATGCCAGCATCTCTTCAGAAGAGTATTTTGTTCACAGGGAAACATGAACAAGGTATGGATATGCTGCGCTAACACCAGCCCCAGGAGCCAATCTGGTTAAATCCTCAGCGCTGCCCTGACAATGCTGCCAAGAGTTCTGGCATTGTGGAGAAAGTCCTAACAGAAAAGGACTTACTGAAAGCGTCATAGAGGAGACAGAAATGGATGGATTTTGTAGCATTTTGCAACACTATGGCATAGCAGTTTGTATTTTAAGTTAGGAACTGGCTTGCTGGAGACAAACCCAATTTTCTTTCTACAGCAACAGAGATTATTAAAAGATTTTACACAGCCAAGTACAAATATGCTTTTTAAATCAAGGAATACTGATTCCTTCATAACATATTACTAATTTTATAGTTATGTGATTACACATATCAGATTTCTTTTGTCAGACTAGAGGTGTGACAAAGATGACAATCTTGCCACTTCTGTGACTGCCATGAACCAGGAAGACTGTTCACTTGAAGTGAGACAATGATCCAAACTACTCCAAAAATGAGACCCTCATTCCACAGAGCTCTAATTGCCTCCAAAGGAAACTGCTTGCTTGAGAAGCTCATTGTATCACAACCACAAACAGCGTCATTGCTGCTCAGTCCTAGTTGGGCTCAGCACTGTTTGTTCGCTTCCCTCATGCCTCAACTTTCACCAAAATAAAAGACCCTAATAAGCCATTAGGAATATCCTTCTGACAAAGTGTGAGAGCTGAGTGCTTCTAATTCAGACAAATCAGAAAAGAAGGGAAGCAGCCTCCCTGAAGAGAACGTGACTATATTTGGCACACAGTGATCGCTATTTTTCACCAAGCTCCCCATATCCTGCCAGGTGGATTCCCAGAGGAGAGGACATACCTTCTCCCAGGCATGACACTGCTAGCAGAAGATCTTATTAAAGGTTTTCTAAGAGGGGAATGCTGATAGCTTTGCTCTTCACTGCTTTGTCTTCCTTCATCTTCACCTGCTTTCTTCTCCTTGGATGAAAATTCCCTTTTTGCTGGACCTGAAATCACACATAAATATGAAACCAGGTACCTGCCAAGTAGTTTGGGCAACAGCTTTTTCTTTAACCCATGGAGGTGGTGATGAAAACTAAGACTCCCAGTCTTGTACATGCATGCAAAACTTCCACAACAATTTGTACTAGGAGCTATACCAAGTTTCCACCAATTGCTGTCAAGGTCATTGTTCTATAAAGAATCAGTATTTTTCAAGACAATATCACTTAGCAATAATGGTAATTAGCAATAAATGAAGTCTAATCCTGAAGTGAATCACAGTTCTCTGAGATTTGCAATATAATCCACAAGCCATAACTCCCAAAGGGATACAAAATCCATTCCACCTGTGTAAATCACAATTCCAAGTGCTCCTACTGAAAGTATTTATTTCATGTATCCAAGCATAGACTCAGGTTGTCATGAATTAACACTTGCAGGAAGGGAGAATTTCTTCTTCCAGAGACCATTTTTCCACCTGTATTTTTCCAGCTGGATTTCTTGAACCCTCCAAGAATAGTTATTTTGGAATGCTGCCACAGACATAACACCATGATAAAATTACACGGGCAAAGAGGCAACCCTAGAGCTGCTGCTTCAAGATGTTAATTTCAAGGAGACAACTCAGCAGCTATTTGTTTTCTGGAAGGCAAGGCTGTGGTTGGTCAAAGCTGAGGTGAACCATCCGAGTGCTGGCAGCTGAAGTGTACCCACGGGCTAGGCGCACTTCAGGCACACACACTGCATTGATGGAGCAAAAGAAAGGGAAGCACTTGACATTGTAAGTATTCCTTTGGGGACTGAACAATCTCCTCTTGCCCTAATACCAAGCAGGGTCTGGAATTCAGGTTTCCCACTTCTAAACTCTGTAGGTTGTTCTCTTTTTTTGGTTCAAACGGTGTCTAACTATTGATGCACAGAACAGCAATGTCAGCAGACACTGCAGAGATTGTCAGGACACTTTCCTTAGGTTGGTTCTTGGAACCTTTTCCTGAAAGCTAGAAGTTCACATCCCAGTCCATGATCTGAGGCAGGCAGCAAGGCATTTCAGACTGGGTTTTCTTATACCCCTAAAGAATATCCTACTTCTGGACAGAAGCACAAAGATGAACATCACCATATTGCTACTGTATATTGCATTAAGGATTCAACCATGATATCGCCTAGTAAGAGATAATTTAGGTATATCATCCTCAGCACATCAAAGAAAAAAAGAGCAGTTGGCACGCTATTTATACATCATTCAGTAGTCTGGAAACATAGACTTACTTGTTTTCTTCTTTTGCCAAAATGTTACTATGTCTTTGTGCAACTCTTTCGCTTTTTTTCTGGCCAGAACTGCAGAGGCCTGAAACGAAACAAAAGAAGAGCACGGAAACCTATTGGCATCACAACACAGAAACACACAGTGCAGCCTTTGCCAGAGAAACATTTACTAATCCCCAAAAAATTCTGGTTGCTGCATTTTAACTTCACTTAAGACCTACATGCAATCAGCTGAATTGGTCTCCACAAGAAAGTGTTGCTTTTCTTCAAAGAAGAGTGTAGTTTTCACTACTGCTGGCCCGACCCCAAGCACTCAGATATAAGTCTTTCTTCATAGAATTAGAAACTGGATTGGGTTGGAAGGGACCATTCAACTACATCTCCCTGCCCCCTGCCTTGAGCAAAGACACCTTCCACTAGACCAGGCTGCTCCAAGCCTCATCCAACCTGATCTCAGACATTTCCGAGGATGGGGCAGCCACACCTCTGGGCAACCTGTGCCAGGGCCTCATCACCTTCAAATAATTTCTTCCTAGCATCTAACTCCTCTTTTAGTTTACACTGTTTCCCCTTGTCCTCTTCCAATCTGTCCCTGTAAAAAGTTGCTTTCCCTCCTTATTGTAAGCCCCCTTTAGACACTGGAAGGGGCTCTAAGGTATCCCTGGAGGCCTCTCCAGGCTGAAAACTTCCAAGAGTTATGCCACTTCTGATACTCACATGATCAAAAAAGTGGAGAACAGCCATTTTTTTATTGCGCCTGGTCATGATCCGGCGAACTTTTGCGAACTGGCCGAAGTGTTTTTCCAGCACAGTCCTGTCGTTCAGGTAGTCAGGGATGTTCTTGCACTGGACAGCCGTCAGCTCGGCGGTTGGCAGGCCCCCCAGCCCCTCCGTGCTCTCGCTGCCGCGGCTCCGGCGAGCAGGGGCGGCGGGGGCCGTATCTGCGACAAAAAGGAACACGACAGCAGTCAGCAAGCGGGGAGACACCCGGGCGGCAGGGCTGCCCCCCACCAGACCCCCGCTTACCTTCTCGGGCGGGCTCCCGAGCCTCGGCCGGCGGTGGCTCCTCGGCGGGTCCCCGCTCGGCCTCGGGGCCGTCCCCACGCTCCCGCTGCTCGCGGGCCTGGCTGCGCAGCAGATCCTCCAGCGTGCGGCCGAACAGGATCCCACCGCGGGGCCGGCTCAGCATCACGGCCCGCTTCTCCGGCGGCGCCGCTGCCCGCCCGCCCGCCGCCGCCCGCCGCGGCGAGCGCTCCCGCTCCTCCTTCCGCTTCAGCCCCTTGGACAGCGGCTCCCCCGGATCCTCCGGCAGCACCCTCAGACCTCTCTCTTCCGGCCGCCCCAAAGCGGCAACGGGACGTGAGAAAGAGAAAGGCTCCCGCGCCACCGACGCCTCGGGGCCCGTCTCGGACGAGAAGGCGAAGGACGACGAGAAAGTAAAGGAGGCGGGGGCAGCCGGGCCCTTCTCCGCCTCGCCGCCTGACAGAGGCTTGAAGGCGGTGGCACTCTCGGGCGCCTTGAAGCGGAACTCAGGAGCGGCGAAGACGCCGCCGCCGCCACCTGACGCTTCGCTGGAGGTCGGGAAGCCGCCCAGGCTGGTGGGCGGCCTGAAGCTGAATCCCGCGTTCCCCGCCGGGGCCGGAGCCTGGCCCAGCGGGTAGGGCGGCGCGAAGGTGGCGGCGGGCGCAAAGGGGAGGCCGGCAGGGCCACCGCCCTGGCCGAACACGGCGGGCTGCCCGAAGCGCAGCGGCGGCGGGAAGGAGGGCGGGCTGCGGAACGGGCCCCGCGCCGACATCGCTGCGGAGGCGGCCTCGGACCGCCGAACCAAATGCGCCCCGCATGCGCAGTGGGGAGAGGGCCTAGCCATGGGGCGGAGACCGGCGTGCAGGGGAAAAGTGGGCGGGACTAGGCGGCAGCAGACTGCTAGGGGCGGGGCGACGGGTGGGAGCAGCGTTGTGGCGTGTCTATGGGCGTGGTCTAAGTGGGCGGGGATTCAGTTGGGCGGGCATATTAACGGCTGGACAGAAGGGTGGGCGGGGTTTTCCCATAGGGCGTGGTCTCGGTTGTGGGCAGGACCTCAGGACGGTGGCGCACTGTGGTGCGCGGGGGGTCGATCGGGTGGCGGTAGCGGCGCTGCCATGAGCGTGGCACTGCGAAATGCGCAGCGCGCCGTACCCGTGCGCCGGGCCCCGCTCCGCCGCGCCGTGTGTGCCTTGCGCTCCGCCCTGGGCGCCTCCCGCTTCGACGTAGGGCTAGTCTGCGCCAGCAACGCGTTGATGCAGAGACTGAACGGCGTCTACCGACACTGCCCGGAGCCCACCGACGTCCTATCTTTTCCGTTCCACCAAGTGGAGGCGGGGGAGCTGCCGCGGCCGTGTTGCCGCGGCGAGTACAACCTAGGGGACATCTTCCTGGGGGTAGAATACATCCACCAGCTGTGCCGCGAAACCGGGGAGGATTTTGACGATGTCCTGACGGTGAGCCCGGCTCGGGCCTGGCGGGCGGTGGGGCGGGCATGCGGCTCGATCAGTAACACATGTTGTGCTCCCGCCCCCCGCGTAGGTGACGGCGGCCCACGGATTGTGCCACCTGCTCGGCTACCGGCACGACACGAAACCCGAGTGGGAGCAGGTGCGGGATGAGCTGGGGCCGGGGAGGGTGTGTGGGGTCCTGCATGGGGTGGACCGGAGGCCCCGGTGACGGGAACCGGGGTTGGTCCGGTGCTGATCGCTGCTGCTCCCGCAGATGTACCAGAAGGAAGTGCAAATCCTGGAGCAGTTGAACCGCCTCACAGGCTCCCGCTTGCGGCCCCTCACCGCCGGCCTCTTCTGAGAGACGGAGAGGGGCAGAGGCTCCGTCGGCGCCGCCCCGGACGTGTCGTGGGGATGGCGGCGCTGGGGCCTGGCGGCCGCTGTGCTCCGGCGCTGCCGCTGCTGCTTGGCCTGGCCGCGCTCGCCCTCTCGCCGTCGCTCGCCGCCGCCTCCGAGCCGCCGCCCGCCGCCCTCCGCGCTGGCCACGCCGCCTCCTCTCTGCCCGCCGCCGCTGCTGCCTCGCGCACCAGGTGAGCAGCGCCGGCCCCGCCGCGTCCGACCCCGGGCCGGTCCTGCCCCTCGAGATCTCCCCCGCCGCGCGATGTCTCCGCCGTGTCTCGGCCTTCAGCTGGTAGAGGGCCTCCTTCGCCTACTGATGCTTTTTTGGGTTGTTTTTGGAAGGTGACATCTCAGCTGTCCGAGAGCTTTGGTCTGTAGAATATCCTGTGTTGTAACGAACCCCACAGGGATTATCTAGCTCCCACATGCATTCTTTTCCTCTACTTCTCTGGACCGTGCCCTCCTGCCTTTGTGTCCAGCTTACAAGAGTTAGCCTGGGTTATATGCCTGTGGTTTCACCATTTTCACCACGCACTCCACATTACCCTTTGGATGAGCAAGAGTCTTCACTCGTTGACCCTCTACAGGAAAGGCTCCTTTCATGTGCCATCTCGCCAGGAGACCCTAGTGGCCCCGCCAGCCCCTGCGGCACACACTGCTCTGACTTCCCATATTCTTCCCCTTCCGAGTACCACAAATTCAAAAAGAGGAACAACTTTCTTCCCAACAGTTTCATCACAGGATTGTAGGATAAAAAAGAAAAACGTGTAATAGCCTCAATGTGCTCCCAGAAAAAATGGTATTCCTTTGTTTTCCCCAGATACCTTTTGTATGATGTAAACCCCCCTGAAGGGTTCAACCTTCGCAGAGATGTCTACGTTCGCATTGCTTCCCTTCTAAAGACCCTTCGGAAAAGTGAAAACTGGGTGTTGGTTCTGCCTCCCTGGGGACGTCTTTATCACTGGCAGAGCCCTGATATCCTCCAGGTTCGGATTGCTTGGTCCGAGTTCTTTGATATCCCGAGCCTCAACAAGAACATCCCTGTCATCGAATATGAACAGTTCCTTGCAGGTGAGGTATAGGATCATGCAATCTACAATTAATTAAATATTTGACATGGTTTCTTAAGAGGTTTGTCCTTATAGGGGCTTTCATGTAAAAAAAAAATCGTAGAGGTGACAAGAGGAGGGATGGGAAGAAGTTTTGCTGAGCTACACAGCCACTAGGATGGAATAACCCAATTACTTGGCAGCTTGTTTGATGTAGCACTGCTGCCCCCTTGACTTCTGGGACCCTTGAAGATAGACAATTAATACCTGTGGTTAAATTCATCTGTGGAATTTCCATGTGGTTTTGACCATAATGACAAGACCACAAGGAGAGAGGCAGCTTGTTGGAATACAGACAAGCCACCTTTTTCCTGGATATGGTGGTTGGACAGTAAAAGTTGTGAAGCAGGTTCTTCCCTTAACTTACTTTTTCATCGTTGGTATTGCGCATACTTGAAATATCGCTTGCTCTTTGTGTCTAAGAGAAAGGCTTTCCATAAGAAAATGAAGTTAGTTCCTTTAGGATTTAATGCCATGTTGAGCTAATCACCAAGTGTTCAATTGGTGAACACTGCACACTGACATGTTCAGTAAAGGAAATAAATGTCACACTGCTGCAAAGAGCTCTGAAGGGAAGGCTGCTCCCTGCCAAAAAAAATGCTTGTAGAGACCCTGAACTTTAGGAGAAGGGCTTGTACTTGGCATTTTTCTTGGAGGTACTCCTCCTGTGGCAGCTGCTTACAGCACTGAAAACCTGTGTGTTTTAACCAGGTGACAGTGATTTTGTTGCATTTGGCACATTAAATCACACAGAGCTGGGTGGGATAGCAGGTGATCACATTGCCTGACCCTTTTAGCTTTTCTGGCTCTCACAGAACTTCCCTTCTTTCTTTATAGGGAAAACAGAGTAGTGTAATATTAGCATTTCTAGCAGATTTTAAACTGCAACTGATGCTTGTTCATACCTTTACGGTGGTGGGTTTTAATGCTTACAAATCCTTTGCTTTGCCTTCTGTTCAGAGTCAGGTGGGCCCTTTATTGAACAGGTTTATGTGCTACAAGGCTATGCAGAAGGATGGAAAGAAGGAACATGGCAAGAAAAAATAGATGAAAAACCATGCATTGATCAGCTGATGTACTCCAGAGACAAACATGGCTACTACAGGTAACATTGAGCATTCCTTCTGGTCTTTACAGTTGTATTCAGAGAGATATTTCCCTACTGTAGATATCTGGGTGCTTGGAGTTCACTTTGTTTTTAAAAAGCCCTTGAATAGTAAAATGTTGTACTTATATGAAAAGATGTAATTCTATAAAGTTGTTTCTACACTGAAAAGCAGTGTAAAGGAGGTGGCTGGTTTATTTGTATCATATGTAGTTTTTTAGGATGTTTTGTTCTGTATCTGGCATTAATTTAAAACACAAGCCTGTGAACCAATCCTCTGTGTTCCCGTTTAGGGGCTGGTTCTGGGGTTATGAGGAAACACGAGGCCTAAATGCCTCTTGCTTGTCTGTCCAAGGATCTGCCTCTATTGTGGCTCCCATCCTTCTGAAGAACACTTCAGCACAGTGAGTTGCCTTGTATAACTGCGTATTGTTGTATAATTGTTGTACAACCTCATTGCTAGGTGGGAAGAGCAGGGGAAATTTAAAGGGTTGTCCACTGTTGAGATACTTCACCACTGAATTATTGTACTCTGTTAAAATAATAAAAAAGAAATTTACAGTGCAAGAAACACTTAACTGTAAGTTTAGTTAAAGATTGCAGTGCTCAAACCTAAGAGCAGATAGCCTTGAGCTCCTTTATATTCCTTCTCAGGCAGCTTTGTGACTCATACCTCCAAGGTATCATCAAATAATCCCCTAGATCATGCAGTGTAAGAGATGCTAAACCATCAGCCATTCCATATTCTACTCCACGGCACATGTAATTTTAAATCTCTGGCACATTCCCCCTCAGCAGTCTCCTCTGCAGTCCTAGAAGAGCCCTGGCTCCATTAGTTGCTCACCATGTGAAAGCCATTCCATGCCTTTGGTTGTCACCACTGCCAATCTCCAAACCTTATGGAACCAGTTCAGCAGGATCCTGCACTGTGTGTGGGTAAACCTGTTACATTGCAGTACAAATGGCATGTTCTGTCAAGTGCTCTCTTCTTTTTCTGCTAACTCTTGAGACACAGGTTCCTTATTTTGACCTCTGAGTGTTGCCTTGATGTTGGCACCAAACTGTCCTCATTCCTGACCATCAAGACCTTTAGTTATTAGATGAAGCCAGGTTTTGTTGGGTTTTTTTACTACACTCACTCTTGCGTTAGAATTCATCCGCCACTTTATTGGCCAGTGATCAGACTTCTCTAATTCTTCATAGTCGGCCTTAGCTGCTCTGAGGAATTTAAAATAATTAAGCTGTGTCACCTACTTTCATGCCCTTCTGTACGTTGTTTAGGAATATGGTGAAGAGACCTTCCACTTGTAACCTCCATCTGCAATGAGAGCCATGCATTTATCCCTGTCTCTATACTTTTTTTTTTTTAATCCATGCAAGAACCTTTCTGTGCCATGTTTTAAGAAAACCTTTAATGAAGGCTGTCAGGAAATCTTGTTAGGGAATGTTCAGTGAGATGTCCCTTATCTTCATGTGTGCCAGTGTCTTCAAACTACTATGATTGTTCAGAGCTCTTATCTCCCATATTGCTCTTCTGGCTGGGCAACCAGTTGTGTGGCCCTAGGACTGGATTTTTACCCCTCAAGTGTGGTCACTTCAAGGCAACTTTTCAATGCATTTCAATTAGTACCCTCAATCACCTCCTATCGTCCTGTTAGATGTAGTGCTGCTTCTTCACCAGCACAATCTTGTCTGTTTCCAGGTGATTTAGGGCCTTCTGTGCAGGTGTACAGCTGATGATGAGCAGTGGTAATCCAAAGTTGATTGGTTATTTGCTTCCTCTCTTTTTAGTAGAAGGAGGTGCCGATAATGATCTTGATCCCTTTTAGCAGAAGCGTTTTTCTGTGTGTTTTCTTATCAGTGTGCTCACAAACTAAATCTACATCTCTTATGCTCTGGAATACTTGAAGCTCTCAAAATCTCTTCTCTTAGAATTTTCATAGTGCAGTTATGTTTCCAGTACGCAATCCTGAAATGTGTTTATTTGTGAGAGGGGCAAGCTGCTGTCTACTACCACACATTTTGGTAATGTCTCTGTGTTCTTTGATCTGTTGTTTTACTGTAGGACGTTTTATTCTACATGTGGAAAACACTTTCTCTGGGTTTGTTTTCATGATCTTCTGCTTGCTCCCAGACGCTGTCGGGTGCTCTGAGGCTGAGCATTATCACACAGGTCACTTGTCCCCTTTGGATTACTCTCCCTGTTAGAAATCTGATTTCTCCTATAGCAACTGTTACAAAGACTGTGAGGGGTGGTTAATGCTTGTTAGTGTTTAACTTTCAGAGTCAAGATACTATTTATTAGGGAAGAGAGCAGGCGCAGGGAATGACATGGTTCCCTTCTCTCCCTAGCAGACTGTGGGTCACAATTTGCCTTATAGAGAACTAGCATTTGCCTCCTAGGACCCTCATTCCCAGGAGCCTGTCCCTTATTCCCCATGTTCCTTTAGCAAACAGACTATATTCTGTGCTTTATCTTAGCAAATGTGTAAAGAAACGTCATAATGTAAATTCTATTCCTAAGGGAACTGCACTCAGTTTTACAATTTTCAATAGGTCAGTGATGTTAGACAGAGCTGAAAACCTTCTTCATGACCACTACGGAGGGAAAGATTATTGGAATGTGAGTATTTTACAGATAGCTTCTCTAGACTTTTTCCCTGGCTCTGCTAAAAATTCAGTAACCAATGCGTGCTTCAGTTTTGCCTTGGGTTTCTTGTCTTGAAAGTCACTTGTGCCTTCTGTTTCAGCAATGTGTGCTAACATGGTTTCAGGCTGCTGTGGATTAATGTGAAACAGGAATTTGCCCTGCTGTCTTGTGCCTAAAGGCCTAGTGCTGCAGGTCATGGTGATTAAAAGGACCTCCCCTATATAACACATCTACAATCAGAAGGGAGCAGTTTCTTATCTAGTCAACCTCAAGATTAGTCTTTTCAAAAGAATTCTGTAAAGTGCTTGTTGCTGCCCCAAATCCCTCCCCACTGGCTTCAAAGGCAAAATTCCCATGGGTTTCAAGGCAAAGGTCTATGGTAAATAATTCCTTTCATAAAAGTTTTAAGAAAATGTTGAAGTTCAGACACAGGAAAATGGAACATGCCATGAAGTGCTTGATATAGTTGAAATTCCTAAGAAAAACTGACTGACTGTCATGATACTACAAAACAAATTACACAGACCTCAGTTTTGTAAATATTGGGCTATTCACTTGAGATATGGCATGTTTGCAGAAGTGGACCAAACACTAGTTTGCTACCCAAGAGTTATTCATTGAGAGTGACCTCTCAAAGAAAGAAATGCAACTATATTTGAGTATGACTTGTCCTGTAAAAGGAGACATGAAATCTACATGGGTCTATAGCACACATTTCTTAGCAGTGGCACTTTAAACATTGCCCCAGCGGTTTTGCCTGATGTCCAAACAAAGATTTTCTCACTGCAGCATGGGCCCAGGGCCTCTTCTCTTTTTTCCGTGTTCCTCTGAGAAGCATCTCTCCCTTCTCTGTTTCTTTGCAGACAAAAAGGGAAAACTTGAGATTTCTGTAATTCTTTTGCCTGTTAATAAAAAGGCCACTTGTGGCTGTGTGCATGGGTAACTGCATCACCGAATCTTAGAGATTATTACTCACAGGTTAAGGAAATAATTCCTTTTTTGTCATTTTTCCGCTGAATTTCCTAGGCGTGTCTGTGGCTAGATACATAATATTTTTAAAGCAGGTTTTATTCTTAAAGGTGTTTAGCACACTAAAGTGTTTGCCCAGCTTTTGTTTCCAGAAGTGAGGTATATTGCTAGGGTGTTTAATTTGATGTATCATGTATTCTGTTGTGTAAATAACTGCAGTGTCCACCCTATACCTGTGTATTGCAGGGGCAGGTGAGTATGCTGGTTATAAATATGGTGATAATTAGAAATAAACTATTAAAGCTTGGATAAAATCGTTGCTTAGAGTACTGCAGAAGTAACTGTATCCTGAAAGTGCTGTGTATGTGAAACTGTCTCCACCTACTCATTTTTAGCTCTCCTTTTTCTGACTCAGTGTCTGCTCTTATTCCAACAGACCCGTCGGAGCATGGTGTTTGCTAAACACCTCCGTGTGGTGGGAGACAAGTTTAGGAAGAAATACCTTCAATCCACTGATGAGGCAGACAGGACTCAGTACAAGGAGGACTGGACACAGATGAAGGTAAAATCCTTAATAGTGTGTTTCCCATAACAAATATTTTATTTGTGTATTCCTGGCTGTGTGCTGTAGGACATATTGGAAGGTACAGGTGAGCAACACCCTTCTGTTCACATCAAGGTGGACACACATGTTCCTCATGCACCTTCTTCTCCCCATGTGACACAAGCTAACAGAGTCTGTCGAGGTGTGCCTGACTGGTTCTGAAGGCCAGATCTTTGTTGCCCTCATTTCAGTAAAGGAAACTTGAATTTCTTCCTGTTTTCAACACTCCATGTGGGTGTAGCGTTCAGCTGCAACCTGCCAGTTGAGGATTTATTTGGTAAAGGAGAGGAATTTTTGCTTACAAAGATTTGGCACTCCAGTTTCTCTTGCATGATGGTGGCCACCCAAGATCTAAATGTTGCAACAAGTGTCCCAAGCTACTTCCAGTCCATACTTGAAACTTTCTGTCTGCACCTAGAGAGATTCTGTGCCTTATACAGAGATGATTGCATTCTGGTTTTACAGTGTGAACAGTGATACTCTCAAGTTTTAAAGTTTCAATCTTTCTCTCGTAGGTTAAGACAGGCACAGCTCTAGGTGGCCCATACCTTGGGGTTCATCTCAGAAGGAGAGACTTTGTTTGGGGTCACAGAGAAGACGTGCCTTCCCTGCAAGTAGCAGTAAAGAAAATCCATAGCCTATTGGCGTCGCTTAAACTTGAAAGAGTTTTTGTAGCCACTGATGCTGTTGAGGAAGGTAGGCAGATCACAGTTACTTGAGGCTTGGTAACTTCAGAGGAGTGCAGCAATTACCACTGGCTCCCCTCCCTCCCTGCAATGCTGTGAATTTTGGCAACTGAGTTTGTAAAACTTGTTGGTAGATTTTGGTGTCTCTTGCTCTGTAACCGTTCACCCGGGATTTCCTTAAACAAACACATTGTGTGACAGCAGTGAGTTGCTGTTCATAATGTAGAGATAAATTCATATCCTTCCTTTTTTAAGAGGTTGAACTGCTCAAGAAACTGCTGCCTGAGATGGTGAGGTTTGAACCCTCTCTGGAGGAGCTGAAACTCTTTAAGGATGGGGGCTTAGCTGTGATTGACCAGTGGATTTGTGCACATGCAAGGTAGCAAACCTGACTTTTATTCAGCCAAAGCTTATTATTCAGCATTGTCACAAAACTGAATATGATTTTTGTCCCAAGGTTGTTTACAAATAGTGTAAGACATATAGTCAATGATATAATTGAGATGTGTATAGTAGATGTATAATGGTTATATTGTGTGTGTTTATACAATAATTTTATTATCATATAATTTCACTGAACAGTGAAGTTCATTGAACTGAAATCTAATTACTTGCATTTTAAAAACTTGCCCTCCCCTCACAAACCCTCTTTTGATTTTTTTTCCACAGATATTTTATAGGCACCTCAGTTTCAACATTTTCCTTCCGAATCCATGAGGAAAGGGAGATCTTGGGATTTGATCCAAAAACAACTTACAACCGATTTTGTGGTGAAACAGAGAAAAACTGTGAGCAGCCAGCTCACTGGAAAATTGTATATTAAACACAGAGAAACACAAAGGTTTTGATACTGTTAGAGTTCAAAATTTTGAGGAAAAATCATGGGGAATTACCTGCTTTGGATTGATGTATGACCCAGTCCTGTATTCTCAGTTCCCGCTCCCCTTCCAGCCGTGGGTATGACGTGGGGTAGCTGTACTGCTCAGTGTCTCTGGACCTCACAGCATTTCTATGTGGCTGCTGCACCTGGGTCCCCAGTATGTTCTGTGCTTGCTGCTATGTGGTCCCACATGCACCAAATGGGTTGCTACAGACCACAGGGGCCTCTTGGCTTCAGAGCTGTGATGGGAAGCAGCAAAGCGATGCCCAGGATGCGGCAGTTCAACCCATCCTCGCCTACTGGAGCATTTTTTACCTGTCCATGGTTCTCTCTGTGGGTCTGTGGTCATTTAACTGCAGGGCTGGGGGTCCTGGCCATGTCACCAGGAGTGCTCACCCTGGGAGCGCTAGTCTCAACCCAGGGAGGAACTAAGCTGCCAGTGGATTAAAAGTGGGGGGAGCTGCTTCCACTCTAAGGGCCTGCAGGGCCCATCTCTTGGGGATTCATCTTTCATGTGAAGGCACATTGCCTGACGAAGAAAGAGACTGGTACCTGGTGGAGCAGGGCCAATATTCCATTTTCCGGAGGCAGCTCTCTCCTCTGCCTGCTGCAGCAGGGGAGGATGGGTGTGTTCAGCACTGCTGCTGGAAGGGGAGTAAAGTTCGTGGCCCTCTTAGGAGGGTCCTGGTTGCTTCAGGGCCTTGCTTTTCCACTGGTTTGTGTCCACAAAGGAAAGACATGCAGAAGGCGGAACCATCACCACAGCCCTGTACTCAGGAGTCCATCAGCCTTCCCCATAGTGAAGGTGGCTAAACCCTTCAACTACTCTGCAAAACTCAGCACCACTGCAAAGAGCAGCAGTTTATCCACAGGGGGCTTCTTACACGTTGCCCATTATGCATCTGGAGGAATCCAAGTGCTTATTTTGTGTCTTTACAAGTGTGGCCAAAGCCACACACACAGAGCCATAACAAATTTTTGCACTGTGCCAATAAAAACTAATAACATTATTTCTTAGACAACAATTGGGGATAAAATTCAATGCAAAGAAAAAAATCTAAATATAAAAAATCAAGATGCTGGTGCACACTGATACAGTGTTCCTGCTTTTGAGCTCAGTCTTCCCTTCTTGTGTGAGCTCCCTTTAATTTCGTCATGTTTGCGTTTTTGTCATCTATTTTTAGCTAAATAATACTGATAGTGTCAGTCATACAGTGCCCAGGGTTCATCTCGTAAGTCAGCCCTGCTGCGCAGGTCTCAGCACATCAGGGTGTAGCCGTTGGTGTTGGTGTTCCCAATCGCTGCAAAGTTTCAAGTCTGTGTTTAAAGTGTCCCCTTGCTATTGGCTGGTGTCCAGCAGTGCCCCTTCATCACTATTGAGTCCCTTTCTGGTGGCCCAGGTTAGCCTAAGCTTCTAACGCTCTCTGGATTCATGGGACTGGGGATTCCAGCATACACCACAGAGGATTTTTCAGGGACATCCCTTAAACCCCAAATCCATGTGAGTCCAAAGCAAAAATCCCTGGGAGCTGAAGGCAACAGGATGCTTCTTGAGAATTTTGAAGTATTCAATGTGTCCTAAATGTTAGGTTTGAATGAATGCCAGTTGTCCAGGATTGTGTGTTTGGAGTTGCTGGTTTAGGGATGGCCGGGTCTGGATTTGGATTTGTAGGCACCGAGAGTTCCTTGTGTCAGGTTTAGGTTTGGATTTGTGGGACTTGTTGGAGAAAAGAAGGAAATGGACATGCACATTTCTGTTTTTGGAGAAATTATCAGGATGGGAGAAAAGAGGGTGTGGAACTGCTTGGAGCTCCTGGAGTGAGGGAGAGGATCCAAGGATGGGAAGCAAAAGCTGTGAAACAAAGCCCAAAAAGGGGCGGGGCAGTGCGGGCACCATGGGGGAAAGAGGGAAAGAATCCCTGCTCCTGGAATCCAGCAGGGGGCAGGGGAGGATCATTTTCCATCCACTGGCTCTTAGTGGAATCCTAATAATGAAGGTCAAAGAAAATGGTTCATTTGTTATTAGGTTTGGAATGAAAGGTGCCATTCCAGAGGGGAATATTTACCTATTAAAATTCAGTTGGATAAAGGAAGAGAGGGAGGAAGTAGCTGGGGGATGAACAGGTGGCTTTCTGGTGGATACAGGGAAAGACATAGGAAGAGGGTTTTATGTAAAATGCACCTCATGGGTACCATCAGGAAAAGCCAAAACTGCCCTTTTTTCCAAGCTCTGATGTTCCAGAGGAGTAAACAGTGGTTAGCACATCTATTCCTGTGTTCCTTGTATGCCCAGTGCTTTGTTGGGAAGAGATAATATTAGGAAATGAACAAATCCAGGGATGTAATTCCTGATAGTAAAACCCTGCAAGCCCAGGTTTTCATATTCTTCCAGCACACAAAGGCAACAGAGGGAATCCTGGAGGAAGTGGAAAATGCTGTCACTCCATTGATGGAACTCCTGGGACATTGAAAGCAGCAGAAGCTGTAAGAACAAAGTTGGAACCAGACTCCAGCTGGGTAAGGCAGACACTGTTGGGGAGGATGAAACAGCAAAGCCTTATAAATATGATTGCCTGGCAAAAGATTTTGAGAATATAGAAACTATAAGTGAGATTGAAATGAAAACAAGTTTTGAGATCCCTTATTTACTGAACAACTGGGAAACAATGGTGTGGCCAGCTGAAGGTAATCCCCTCTTGATGAAACAAGACTCTCTGCTTGCAGACAGCTCTAAGGGTCAGAGCAGACCCTACCAGCTTGGCAGAAGGGGTCCAAAGGAGTTTTTAGGGTTTAAATGTAACACAGTATGGTGATGTAGTGATTCTTATAGGCTGTATGGAAATGCTATAGGATTTGTATCTTGTACTAGATTGGTTAGTGAGAATCAGAATATTCAACACAGAAGATGATTTATTGTATTGTAACGGGAACTTTGCTTCTTTTCTTCTTCTTCTCCTCCTTCTCCTCCTCCTTCTTGTCCTCCTTCTTCTTCTTCCTCCTCCTCTTTCTCACTCACCTACTTACTTTCCATTTACCCTCTTATGCTTTTTCATTCTCATCCTCTCTACCCCTCTCTTCTCTCGGGCCTGCTCCGAGCTGTGCCTGGCAGCTCCCAGCAGGGCCCTGCACCCACGCCCTTTGCAATAAACTGATAATTCCATGATCTGGCTGCAGAGATCTCTCGTCTCCATCCGAGCCGACCGTATGTGACCCCCAGCACTCCTACAAGACACCAAATCCTTTGGAATTAGAACTGGGCAGGGGTGAGAAGAATTAATAGTTAAATTTGTACCCCCATGGATTCCTGAGCAGGATCCCAGCAGGGAAGACTGGAGGGATACTCCACAAGAAAGTCCAAACTGGGAACTGTTCCCAGATGGGAGCAGCAAGCCTTGGAATTGCCTGAAGGGAAGAAAGAGGGATCCTTTGAGCTCAAGGATCAGCTGTTGAACGTGGTGATGTTATCAGATGATTCCTCAGGAATGTTTAGTTCCCAAGCCAAGTCAATCTGCTGCCTTGTGAAGCTCAGAAATCTTGAAAGAACCCAACTAATGTAGGGAATGGACTGGCAGATAAGACTGCTGGGGAATGGTAGGGAAATCATCCTAACAGAGGGCCTCCTTTTGTACTGGAATGGTGCAAAAATTATCCAAAAGAACAGGAGTCAAATGGGATTTACAGATTCCTTGGAGACCACAATCAAGTGGGAAGGCTGAGAAAAGGGAACAAAGCCTGCAAATGAGCCAAATCTGCCGAACACCTCAAATGACTAGAAACACTGTTTCTAGAATGCACCCATATAATTCCTTAAAGGTATGGCTCAGTTAAGGAGCAATACCAATAAAGCCCACAGATGAAAAGCCTGTTGTTAGCTTTTTTTTTCCCTTTAAAAGCCTCATCTAAAGCATGGTTTAGTAATTCAGGTGAGTTCAGCTTGCCACATTCTGTTGAAAAAGGATCAACTAAATCTATGCTCTAAGATAAAAAGAGCAGTTCAATGTATGAAGGAGGGTGCAACACACAGTATCATTTTCCCATTGAACCTTGGCAACAGGAAAAGCTTCCCTCTGCCCCAGGAGCTGCAAGGAATTTGGGCCAGTAAATGACATCTGAGAATCACCATAAATTCAGAGGCAGAAAGAGAAGATCTACCATTAAAAGGTAGAAAAATGTTGCAGTGTGAGGTAATACCCTGTTTTCAGCCATCCCAGTCCCTTTCCCAGGTGTGCCAATACTTTCTCCTGAGAATCACCATAAATTCAGAGGCAGAAAGAGAAGATCTACCATTAAAAGGTAGAAAAAAGGGAAAGGTTTCAGAAAACATCTCTGCACTAAAATTAATAAATATTTCCAGTTTCTCTGTGAGAAGAATAGAACCCTGCAGTAGTTAAGGCCGCACAGTTCACAGCAGTGAGAGCTCAGCACACATCCAGAAAGGCAATTCCAGCATCTAAAATTGAAATAAAAAGAAAATTTTGATTTATTTTGTTTTAAAGTTACTTGAAGTTCTTAAAACCAAACCAACCTTTGCTCCTGATTTTGGCTCACTGACACAGACACACGGGAAGCCAAGGGTCACACAAATCCTGCTTGCAGAATTCCTGATCCAAACCCTCACCTTTCCCACCCAGCGCTGAGGGAAATCTGACAGAAGATTAATAAAGAACCTTTGTTGAGAGCAGTCATCACCTCAGGCCTTCAGGCTTGGCAAGATTTGGTAGTGAATGGACTCAAATTCAACTCCTCCATCTAAATCTCTGACAAGTCTTCTCAGAAAGATATTGGACAGTCACTCAGAGCGCAGAATTTAAAGACTGCATGAGGAAGAACAGAAGCTTTGACATTATTTACACGAGTTCCTTTTTCTCCCTCAATCACTCTGAGACTGTTGGACCTGATCTTTGCAACCTAAAGCAGACTTAAGGCACTGGTTCCAGCAGTAGCTGCAGTTCCAGGCTTTCTGTTCCCTGGATTGCTCACCTAAGCACTCTCATTTCGGCCCAGTGACTCTCTGTCCTCAGAGGGAAGGAACCACAAATTGGTGGGACACAGCTCTGGCACCACATTTCCTCTTCCCTTCTCCCCTTTTCCAGCAGACCAAGCTGCTGGAAATGGCATTTCTTGCACAGTTCATCACAGTAGAGAGGAGAAGAGGAACCTGTGACTTACCCACACCATGGGCAGTACTAGGTTGGGTTTGGCTGCTCAAACACCAAAGCTCTTGGCAGGGATAGGACAAGTTAAGTGGTTCTTCCTGTCCTCATAGAGAGGAGAAAAGGGAAGTTAAGCCCAGTGTGGCATCAAAGACTCCTGCACTTCATCTTTTGGCTCAGAGTGCTCACCATGGAATTTTAGCCATAGAAAAGGAGAGGTGACACCAAATCAAATGGAAAAGTGCTCTTTCCCAGTGTTTTTATTCCAGGCATTCAAGGAAGCTCATTTTTCTTCTAGCTTTGTTTGCCCAATTTTAGCAGAACCATTCTCATCCTCATCATTCTCATCCTCTCATCCCGCAAGTCAGTTGTTCAATCCTTTGACTGGATCTGGACAAAGGAAAGGACACACTGGGATCACAGGAAAGCATGGAGAGAAAGCCCTCCAAAACTGGACAGAGAAAAACAACAGGAAATGCAGGAAGACAGAGGCCTTCTTTGCATGTTTGCATTCCTTTTCTGAAGACATCTGTGCAGCTAGATGCTCTTTGCATTTGGCTTCCTTTAAAGGAATGGATTTGCTGCTTAAACACATCTCAGGCCCAGATGTAACCAGGAGAAGGTGGGATGGAGATGAGGAGTCAGGGAATAGCCAGGGTTATGCAGGGACTGGGAACATTGAGGATGGAGAAGAGAATGAGCAGGGATTGTTCTCCTTGTTTAGATCCATCAGTCCAGGGCGCTTGGAAAACACAAGGTACCAGAGGGATCCTGGCCAGAAGCAGAATAACTCTGGGATAAGGGCAAGCTACTCCTGGTCCAGGGCTGTGCTGAAGAAGAAGGGAAATTTTTTTCTCTCCCCTTTCCAGTGGGATGCCACCCCTGCCAGAGGCAGGAAAACTGCCTTGCAATCCAGTACAAAACCTGCCTGGCAAGCCAGGATCTCAAGGAGCCAGCAGCCATTTTGATTTCCTTCTCACAGGCATTTTAAGCCTGCTTTGCCTCACAAGCACTTTTCTGCCAAGGGTATTCCCATCTTTTTTAGATCCTGAATAAAGGTTTGGAAAGCTGACTTTGATGAAAGAACTGCTTCCTATTTTGATCAGTCTTAAGTTGGATTTTCCTTCAGCACCAAAATCAGGGGGTGAACCCAATGTGGCCTCAAAGGGCCATAAGATCCCAGCTGTCCAATTGCCAGTTCCCTCAGCACTAATTTGTTGAACCTTTTCAGGGTTAATTTAGCAAACTTAAGGGTTTGGCAATGTCAGGGTCAAAACAACCAGAAAATTGTGAAAAAGAAACTGAACTAAAGCCGGCTGAAAGTGGTCCTTGCTGATGACTCATTACAACCACTCGTTCAAAAGGAGGCAGGATTGATTCAATACTCACCGGCCCATCTGGCCAAGGCCAGAGCTCTCTGCTCACCGAGGACACAGCAACCAACAGGGACCTTTCTCCCACTCTCCAGCATGGACCTCCTCCCTCCACACACAGGGAACTGCAGCCACTCCGGGAACACTGACTTAGTCCTCGGCTGGCAATAGGAGAGGCACAAAGAATATTTAGAACTCTTTCTGACCTCAATGCCACCCAGACCTGGGAGAAAGCACTTCCCACTGCTCCTGGAATTTTCTTCCTTGTCCCTTCCAGGTTTAGAAGGTTTCTGTGGGAGGCGGGATTATCCATGTGGTTCACAAGCTGCATGTGGTACCTAAAGCATTCCCTTGGGAACATGAAGCTTCCCTTGTGCCTTTCAATTCTTTATCCCAAATATTCTCCCCAATGATCCACAATCTAGAAAGAAAAAAAGGGAAAAGAAGGAAGACTAGTTCATTCTGATACAAGGAGCATTGGTTATCCCAACACATGTCCAGGTGAAAAAACATTTCTGCCACTCTAACGAATACTCTTGATACTGTCTCAACTCAATAGTAACTATTTAAATATTACATTAAGAATCATAAGGACACAACTCTTCGAATTCTCAAGAATGCCTCAGCTTGGCTACTTCAAGGACTTCCCCACCCAGAAAGCTGAGCAGTCCGAGATTTAAACACCATATTTGATACAAATCTGATAGAAATTTGATAATGTTTGGCTACTAAACTTTTCCAAAAGCTGTGGAGTCAAGGCTGGAAATCCTCACTGAAGCTTTTCCATGCCCCATCTGGATTTATTCTTGGGAAAACCCCATTCAGAGGACTTTGCTTTAAAGGGGTTGCGCTTGATGTTACAGACACAGAATTCCTTTGAGATTTGGCATTTCCTGCACCTCCAAACATCTTAAAAAAATCAAGTGCAGAGTCCTGAGTCTCAATTATTCCCACTTTCCTCAGCTCCACATGGATTTGTGCCTCCTCTGAAGGCCTGGAAAGGAATTTGGGGATCTGCTTCAGTTGGTTTGATTTTCAGCTCTTTCTCTGAGGTGGCCCAAAAAGCAAACAGAAAAAAATGCTGTAACAGCACAAAATCTCAACCCATCCCAAGATGCAGCTCCTCACACTAAACCTTGGGAGAATCCATGGTGGTTCCAGCACTGCTCTAATCCCACCTCAAACTGAGTGTCCAAGGAGCTCTGCCTAATTCACATCCAAGCCTGGATAGATGAAAGCTTGCAGGAAAAGGGGAGGCAAAGTGAAGGGGAGAGGGGAAATAATGGAGTCTTGGGTTTTCCCTCTATGTGCAACAGAATTGAAGGGCAGGATGGAGAGGTTCCATGGTGTTTTAGGTTGGAAGATGTAGCTGGGGGTGTGTATTCTATCACCATCTGTTAGAGGTGGGGCAGTTATCTTCTGTTAATTGGGCAGTTTTCTTTATCTCTTCCGCAACCTCCAGGAGGTATCTATCTTCTGTTAATGGGCCAATGAGTGTCACTGCATGGCTGATAAAATAACATAATTCCATTGTGAGAAGCTCCACCCAGAGGGAGGAGCCAAACATTCCTTCCTGGATATAATCTGAGATTTGGAACACCACAGTTGGGCTTTTCTCGCTGGATTCTCAGAGGAAGACCAGGCCCATCTACACCACCACTGGATCTTCAGAGGAAGGCTACACCCTTCTTACAGGATCCCTGCTTCAGCAGAACCACATCTGCCACTCCAGAACTGCAGCCACCCTTTAATGGGACTGCTACTAACATCTTGACACACAGGGTGTCAGGTCATATTCTGACTCTGTCAGTGTTGTTCTGTATAACTGCATTTTAATTCCATTTTAATTTTCTTCCCTAATAAAGAACTATTATTCCTACTCCCATATCTTTGCCTGAGAGCCCCTTAATTTTAAATTTATAACAATTTGGAGGGAGGGGATTCACATTTTCCATTTCAGGGGAGTCTCCTGCCTTCCTTAGCAGACACCTGTCTTTCCAAACCAAGACAGATGGAAAAGAAGTCCCAAAGGGTGCTTAATTCCAAGCAGTTAGTGCTGCTGAGGTTGAAGCCAAGAGGACAGATCCACTGGGATCAAACAGGAGTGGCAGACAGGATGGGTTATGACACAAACCAACAAAGCTGGAGTCCTCTTTCTTCTCCAGGGTTCTCTCAGAAATTCTCCATGTCTGGACAAACTTCCAGTCTCCCTGCTGGGGAGAATGGACTTGCATATCCCAGGTGACTGCTAAGGCTCAAACAATAAAGTTAAGCAATGATCAAAGCGGTTTTCCCAAGGAAATTACATATTCTCTGAAACTGGGATAACTTATCCCATGGCTTTCTCCAGGAAGAGTCACAGTTGGATATAGTCTCCCATTAAGGATTACACAGGGGCTCACCTTTTGCTTGGAGCTTGGCTGAATTCCTCAGCAATGCCAGGAGGTGGCCAGGACAGGGACAAAGAAGGCTGCTTATGTGTCCCTTGCATGGGGCAGCTGGGAATGGAAAAGCTTGAGGGTACTTAGGGGGTGAGGCATGGCAACACCTGACCTCCAATCCAGTTACAAAGCAGTCTCCACTGATAAATGGCAAAGAAGAGCTGACTGACAGACTTTGGGAGGGGCCAGAGCTGCCTGATGCAATCCCCAGGGATATAAAAGACTAGGCACCCATCTTGAAGACAAACCAGCCAAGCGGTATCCATGAGGGCAGTTCCCAGTGCTGCGAATTTTTCCTTATGTAGTCCTTTGTTGTATTTTTGTTAAGGTTTAATAAACCTTTTTAAATTTTCAAATTGAGCAGTTGTTTCTCACACTATTAAACAATGCTGACTGTGTAGACCAAGATAAGAAGTAAATCTAAATAATGTTTAGAAGCACAATAAACAGCTTTTGTTTGATTCACATGGAATTGTGCAGAGTCCTTTGTCTTCCCTCCTCAGTATAACACACCCTACAGCTGTTGTGTTTAATGAGGTATACAATCTCTTTTAAAGTACTATTTTCTAAATCAATTTAAGATTATTAAAGGAAATGTTCCATGTCTTGGTTAGGTTTCACAGCTTACATTTAGAAAATGACACATCTTTGTGTTTGTAATGTCTTTTCTTGAGGTATTTGAGTAAAGTCATAAGTGAATTGCCACTCTAAGGCTCTCATAGATGGTTTACTGTGTACATCTGGAGCTTTTGCATCTCTTTTATGAAGGTTTCTCCCCTTGGTCATGATGGATATATACAATGTTATGAACAAAAATTCGGTTAATATTTTTTTTGAGAAAAAGTTACAAAAAGGCAGCCAGATCTCTGTCCCTGCCGAGGTCCTGCGTGTTTTGTTATTGTAATCACAGGTCCTTGTAGCTTATCGCTCCTTTTGTATTAGTAAAAGCCCTGACTAGGGCGAGGTAATGGCCCTTCCCCGAGGCTAAGGTGTTCTTTTCCTAGCATAGTGAAGACACCTGAGAGGGTGGGGGGGGTTATGCAAAGTGACTCCAAAGTCCAGAATGCTTTGTGGGACCCCGACTCAAAATGCAACGAGAAAACCCCAAAAACAACGAGCCAAATAAGAATTGAGAGACTAAAATGATGTCTGGACATGAGGAGCCGATGGCTGAGCCTGCAGAGATGCGGAGCCCCTCTCGCCCTGAGCAGGGAGTGGTCCCAATGCCGGGACTAGCCACCTGGGAAGGTCACAGGAGCAACATCTGATGGGGACAACACGCCCTAAAGCTCCCACGAGGACTGGATCCCTGGCTCTGCCCCTAGTGGACGGAGCTGCACATATCCTCCTCCTCTGAGTCGCCCTGGGAGACGCGACGGGGACTGCAGCCCTGTCGAGCCGCCCAATCCTGAGCTGATCACTTTTAATAAAGGCATTATAAAGGAGAAGAAGTCTCCTGGCCCTGTTTATTTCATACAATATTAACACTATTCAGCTGCATTTGTAGAATCCTTTTGTAAAGTTCAAATATTGAAAATATAGTGTAAAATCAGTGTAAGAGACGACACACTGTAGGTTTCATAGAAGTCACAGGAATTGATGTTACTTTTAACATAATTCTTATCATTTGCAGAGATAGTGAGAACAATACTGGCTTAATTAAACATGGACAACAATATCTGGTAGAAAGGGTCTCAGATCTCAGTTTCAGTCTGCCTCACCTGATGGTATCTCATTATGCAAACGAATATAAAGTGTCCATTTTGGTTTGGGTGTCTGTTTTCCTCTTGAATGCTGTGGTACTTAGGCTCAGGACGACCAGGGGACATTTGGCTGAGGAGACGTCCCTGCAGGGGGCGGCGGCATGGTCCCGGACGGCACCAGCAGCAGGTTCCGTGGGCAGGTCGCCCCTGGTCTGGGGGAGACTTCTCAGCTCCGTGTGGTGGTTCCGTAGCGCGCTGTGGCTGCTCCGCCCGTCTTCCTTCCCCGTGTGCCTGGCACGGTGTCCCACACTTCCCGTCGCCTCGGTGGGCGGTACCTGCTGTGTCCCCTCCGCCGTCCTTGCATCCCACTCTAATTGATTTAACAAGTCGGTAGCAAGCTTCCAGGGCTTTATAACATTAAGGATGGTCTCGTCGCCTGAAATAAACAGGGCAGAAGACTTTTTCTCCTTTTAATGCCTTTATTAAAAGTGATCAGCTCAGGGTTGGGCAGCTCCAAGGGTCTGCAGTCTCCGTCGTTTCTCCCAGGGCGAGGAGG